AGCATAGGGACCCCCACTGCACCAGGGTAATGAAGTGTTTGAGTGCAGAGGGTGGGGCTACCCTGACCCCTCCCCCAAGAGCTGGAAGAATAGGGGAGAGAAATAGTCTTTCTCATCAGGAGGCTAGGAATAGACAAAGCAGCTCCTTTTGACAGCTGGGCTCCCTTCCCAGCAGCATGGTGAGGGGGCAGGAAGGGCACTGGAGGCTGCCCCCCAGCAGCCTGGAGTGGGGGGGGGGTGGGCTGCAGTAAGTTCCAAAGAGGGGGTCAGATTTAAGGCACTAGCCAGGAATTCAGGAGACCTGGGTCACAGATTCCTGGGGTGACCCTGGACCAGTCACTTAATCTCTTGGTGCCTCTTTCTGTCTCTATAAGGGGAATAACAGCCCTGCCCTGCCTCACAAGGGTGTTGTGAGGATAAGATGGTAAAGATGGAGAGGCTCTCCGATGCTCTGGTGATCAGGGCAAGGTAAGTCCCAGAGGGTGTGTCTAGACAGCGGCGCTATTTCGGGATACCTCCAGTATCCTGAAATAGCATTTTCCGCGTCTTGACAACACGCCCGTTATTTCAAAATAGCTTTCGAAATAACTGGTGTGCTATTCCAATGTCCCTGTAAGCCTCGTTCCACAAGGATTAAGGCATGTTTCGGAATAGCACTCCATTATTTTGAAAAATGCTATTTTGAAATCCACTCGAAATAAGCTACACCATTTGCATAGCTCATTGTGTAGCTTATTTAGAGCTACGGGTGCAGTGTAGCTGCACCCTTAGAGAGCTGAGACTAAGCTCCCTCCCAGGGCATTGCTCAACTCCCCGTCTTGGGTGGCTAGGACCTGTGTTGGCTTTAGCAAAGGGGTTCTGTCTCCTGGCTCAGACTGGCAAGGATGTGTATGGTATGCAGCCCTGTACGCAGCTCAGTGCTTCCTCCTAGCACTCCTCCTTCCTTTGCTGTCCCCTGGCTGTGCTAAAACACCCAGGGAGCCTCTTAGAGCAGCTGTCAGGGTTTTTTCCAGTTGCAGCCCTGGGCCAAACCCCTAGTGTGGATTGGCAGTGAATCCGTGCACCTTCCACCAGCTTCAGTGCACAGCATGGGACGGCGTGCTTTTGTCTGGGCCAGAGACAGGTCACTAACAGCCAGAATCCCCAGTAGGGACAAGGCCTGAGACACGATTTGGACCAGTCAGTGAGCTGCCATGGTAACGAGGCAGCCCAGGCTGGTTCGCTTCACAAGAGCTGTGTCTGTTGCAAGGTGTCAGCGGGCAGGGAAGGTGTGTGTCTACTGTAATATACTCGGCAGAGTTAGTCTGTGAGTGAGCATGTCTGTCTGTCCATCCGTCTGTTTGTTCAAGAACTCCTCCTGAGAGCTTGCGCCCCCAATTTGGTACCCAGCTTCCTCTTAGAACTTAAAGCCAGGCAAGGGTTTAATTGTGCAAGGGGGTGTTGTGTGAATGAGAAGCCCCCCCTCCCATTTATACGGGGATGCATAAAACCATACAGAAGAGAGAATCACTAGGCAGGTGAAAGGACCTGGCTGGAGGTATGCCCTGCCCCCTGCATCCAGGACTGCCCCAGGTGCCCTTTAGGGAGAGGAAGATGCAACCCCCCACCCCTCCCCATTCATACAGGAACACTGCTGAGTCTCCAGGAGGGGCCGAGAGGCAGCTTTGCCACAGCTCATTGCATTCGACTAGGCTGAGATTCTCCCTGGGCTCTGGCCCCAGCGCCCGAGAAGGGGCTCGGGATCAGTGCTGCTGAGATGCTGCCTGTCCCAGCTCCATGGGGCTTAGCTGCAGGGCAGGAAGTGGCTGTAATGGAATCCAAGGGAGCTGGAGCTGGAGCTGCTGCTGGGCTTCTCTTGCTATTGGCACGTGAGCCTGGTGGGGACTGCTCAGTGTTCACAGCGGGGTGGGAGAGCAGTAGGGTTGGAGGAGGAGATGGGGGGGCTAGCTGTGTAACAAGGCAGAAAATGAGGCAGGAGCTAATGCATTTGCACACTAAGTGAGGCTTTTGTCCCTAACAATTAGAGAGATATAGTGGTGGGTGGCATGGTGACACACATCCAAACAAGCACACATGACATCAATGCTGGTGCACAAGACAAAACTCATTCCATGCATGGATGGCAAATCTTAGCGGGAACACTGGGGACAGCCCTGGGCCAGAGCTGTGGGGGTACTGCCTGGGGAAGAGGTGTGAGCACAGGCCCTATGTTGGAATATTGACTCCGCTGATATGGACCAGTGGGTCTGAACATCCTGCCTCACCCACAGCCTCCTCCAAATACTACAGAATCACTGCATTCCCTCCACCCGTCTGCTGCCTGGGTCTTTCTGGCCAGAGGCCAGGTCAATAAACCACCCTGAGCCAGGCCAAAAAAAAAAAAAAAATCCCCTGTCATCCTTGCAGCTGGAACATATTGCTGCATTAACAAGGGTCCGCTACTATGTTGCATTTACATAGTCCTGCATGTGGTGTCCATCTAGTTCTGAAGCAGTAACCGCTGTAGCGGCTAACGCTATAGAGAACTAGCCCCATTATTCTGCAAATGTAAAT